GCACTTTGGGGTGGGGTGGGAAGCAAGGGGAACAAAGGTGACTACCTGAGGTCACAAGAGTCGGGGCTTGGATTTCCTGCTCCAACCTGTTTTTGCCACTCGCCTCACTAGCTGCCTGAACAGAGGCCAGTGAAACCTAGGCACCTCTGCCTCCTCGTGGGTACTCAGGAGCCAACAACACTAGCTCATCGGGCAGACTGGGGAACTGGGTGAGTCCTGGAGCCACAGGACCCCAGTGTGCAGCCTGTAGTAGGTGCTCAGGAAAATCTAGTCACCAGTTCATGCAAACATGACATCTGAGGCCAGGCAGGGCTCACCCGCAAGAAACCCTTGTCCTCACTCCCACCCAGCCATGTCCCAGAACCTTGTGGGCACTGAGTTCTGTATTTATTTATGCGCCTCCAGTTGCCTCCAGTCCCCCTCCTGGATGTATTGGAAGGTGTCTCCTCCACCCACCACCCCACCCCGCGGGCACCCAGCCACATCACCACCAAGCCCTGTCCTGCCACAGGAAATGCAGCAGGGTCTATCCTGAGGCCAGAGTGGCCCTCTGCAGTGGCTGTTCCTTCCTGCCCACCCCCACCCCTGCTGTTGGGGCCCTGATTAGCCTGGGTATTGGATGACCCCTGCTCCTCTTCACTACCCTGCAAGGGTTAATCAGCCTTCCTGCTGGGCGGCTGGGCAGCTCGGAAGGAGGCAGCAGGGCGGCCTGGCGGCAGGAGGCTTTCATTACTTTGATGGGATACATGTGCTCGGCTTTATCTCCGGCCCTTTCTCCGTAATTCAGCGCTTGAACGTCTCAGCTGTCGGCCAGATCTGCAGACAATTGCTCGGGGTAATACTATCCGGAAAAAGCTGATAAAACGCAGATGTGACGAGGCCTCTGAAATTTGCGGTTTGCTAAGTGGTTTGCTGCGATGCTTGCCCGTGGCCAGGGCGGCTTCCCTGCGAGGCTGGGAACAGAGGGGGTGGGAGTTGCATTTTTTTTTTTAAGTGAAAGGTTGAATAGAGGAAGTGACTGTTGAGGTTTTTTCTGTAATTAGGAAGATGGGCAAACAGAAAGTGGAGGGTGATGTGACCATACCCTAGGACTTGCAAGCTCACCTGGCCCCTCTGGTCCACCCTAACCAGCTTTTAGGGGCATCTCCAGGAGTGGGGCATCCCAGGCTTCCCCTGTGCAGCTTGGAGTGGGCATGGGGCAGGAATTCCTGGAGGAATCCTGTGTGACCTTGGGAAAATCACTTGACCTCTCTGTTGCTCTGCACACTCAATAGAAAGATGGAATCACTAACAACCTCAGTTATTTGCCCCATGTAATGAAACTAGCAGGATGTTGGGCACATAGTAGGTGCTCAATGAATGATGTGGAGGCTCCAGATCCTTCCTTCCACTCACTTAGGTTCCAGATGACTGCAGAGAATAAAAGTGACACAATCTCAGTTGGGTGGGTGCGTTCCCTGCCATGCATTTAGTGACCCACCTTCCTTAACTGGCCAAGAGCTTCTTCCAGGCGGTGGGTGTATCCACATGAACTAGTCCCAAAGGCAGCATGCTTCATAAGGCCCTTCCCAATTGTTTTTATGCCCAAGGAGAAAGAACACAGATTTATACCATTATGCGCTTTCCTTGAGGCCATGTCACGTGGTTGCCCAATGGTCTGCTCACAGCAGCAAATACCACTGTCCATTTATGGCCCTCACGCCCATCCATGTGCGTACATTTCCAGTGGATCAATGACCTCACGAGAAGCAGAGACATGGCCACTGTTTCAGGGACACTTTTAAGCTCTTGTTTACATTGATGGTAAGGTAAGAACAGAGAGCATGCACCAAGCCCCTTCCCTTGATTTTTACCCCTTGTCCTTGATCCTTGAAAATAGCCCCCCTGAGGTGGGTGGATCACATGCATTTTCAGATGAGAGGAACAGAGGCCCAGAAAGGTTAAGTCGCTCATTCAGTCTCCCAGCTTGTAGGGGCAGAGGGGGCATCCAAACGCAAGTACGTTTAGGAACGTCTGGCTCCAGAGTTCACACATTTGCATCTGTCCCACGCTGCCTCTGGACAGATAAGCACAACCCTGGGATGGGCGGGCAGACACCCTGGCCGACTCCAAAACTGAAGGCCTGAGTTTTCCCCTTGGACCGGCCAGTCTGGAATTAGGGGGTCCATTTGCAGTTCCCGCCTTTCAAAGAAAGAGGGCGTCTCTCCCCCTGCCGGGTGTGGGCAGAGCTGGTAGCAATTTTCCCACAATGTGTGAATTAGTCCATCTCTGAGTCTGTAAACGGGGGCCTTTGAAGGGGCCTTAATGAAGCACTCCATTAGGGCTTAATGATGGCTGCCTCCAGCATTACTGCACGAAGGGCCTTTTGATGTCTTGGGGCCACGGGTTGGAGGCTCAACTCATCTCAATGCCCCGGCAGGCTTAAAAAAAAAAAAAAAGGCAAAAAGCCCCCTTAGAGAAGTCAAAAAATTTTTAATGAAAAAAGTTAGTCCTGGCCTGACTGATGTTGGCACTTCAAAGCCAGTGCACACAAAATTGCTCTAGACTGCTTAATTCAAAAGTGCCCCCTCGCCGGTGACAGCCCAATGGTGACAAAATACAATTGGCAACAGGAGACGGGCAAGATCAAAGGCTGGCTATTGTAATAGTTCTGTTCCATGAAGAATTGCTTATTGTCAGGAGTTTTTAAGCCTTTTTTTCTCTTCTTTTCTTTTCTTTCTTTTCTCTCTTTTTTTTCTTTGGCTCCAGCGCCATCTCAGGATCCTCTGGTTCAGAATCAATGAACATAAATACTTGTAATTACATCCTTCTGATGATACATTTCAGTTTGCAGAGGCCGCGGCTGCCTGTCCGTCTCTCGAGGTTCATGGCGCTGCGCAGCTTGTTGGACTATAAAAACGATTTCTGTGTTTTTGTTAGAGAAGGTCCTGCAAGGCGCCCACAGGGCAGATCAGAGCTGGGATCTGCTCATCATCCCGGGGACTATTTTAGGATTTATTTCAGATTAAACGGCTGCCTGCCTGGGCCTTGGTCGGGTGGAGGGGTGAAGGTAGCGCCAGAGGAGAGGCCTGGGAGCCTCTCCTAGCCTCAGTATCCTCAACCGTGACCCAAGGGCTCATTGATCACACCACAAGTATTTACTGAGCTCCGACTCAATGAAAACACTGCCTTGTGGGGCTGTTGAAACAACCAGAGAAAGTGAGTATAGGGAGTATAAGAGCACTTTGTGATCAGAAACCCCCCCCCGCCCGCCTCCTCCCCTTCTTCTGTCCTCTGCTCTCTGCCTGTTGTGGGTCTGTTTTCAGTCTCTACCGTTTATCTGGCCTCTGAGGCCACAGTCACTCCCTAGGAACACAGAACCTAGAATGAGTCTGGCGAGTTGTTTTGAAACTTGTACTCGGAGGGAGGCGGCCAGTGAAGGGGATGTGTCCCAGGCATGGGTTTAAGTTCAGTTCTCAGCAGTGTGATTCATGGGCCACTTCACCCTGAGAACCTCAGTGTCCTTCTCTGTGAAATGGGAGCAGTCACCCCTGGGCTCCCAAATCTCATGGTTTTTCCTAATGGCACCCAGCACGCAGACAAGGGGAAGGATGCAGAGGACTACATAAATGTTGCCCAGGATGCCACAAACACCACAAAGTCAATCCAGGCTACTTTCCGGAAGGAGCTGGAAGAGGAGAGGGCTGTTTTGAGCTGGGTCAAGGCCTAGGATGACTGTGGGCCATTAGGAAGCAAGAATGCTCTGGTTCCCTTTATTGCTTCAAATATTAGTCACCAGGAAGCCGCCCCACGAAGCATACAAGCCTCGTATCATTTACTCATCTTGAATTAATTAAGAAGACTGGTATGGGGACAATTAGAGAAACCTTAGGCTGATGACATCTCCTCGGGATGGAATTTGCTTCTGCATCCACTCTGCCTCTCACAGTTCCCCAGATATTGGCAGGTTTGCTTTTTTTCTCAAAATGTCTCCAATATATTGTAGGACAGGATCTGTGGTTCTACAGATATTTGGGGGCACACAGCCCCGGAAAGGATGGGTTGAGGGTCAATTTGAGATGCGTCTG